TACAGAAGAATGTTTGGATCCACCTTGCATTGTTTTGATAACTTCCTCTTTCTATAATCACAGTTTTGACTATTTTTTCCCTCCTCTTACCACTGTTAAACATCCTTCATCTTTATAATCCATATTAAGTCTAACTAAATGCCTATAAATCTTATGCTTGTACTCATATAATACTTTTACGGAAACCAGTCTTCTTTATGCTAACTGAATATCAGCCGTTGTATCATTGAACACTGGTTTTTGATTGTTTTATGCATAATTTAGGTCGTCACACACGCTTGTTTCTGGTTTGTTTGCTTCAAAGTTTGATTTCACAAGTAAGATATTTTCTCAAGTTTTCACTCACACTGTTCATTCAATACAGCCTTGTTTGTTTTCGGTGGCACACAGCATTTAGCACATTATAGAATGTGAAGATATGAATGTGTCACAGCATATTCATCAGAGTCAGGCATAGCACGCAACGATGGTAATTGTGTTTCTTAGTCTATTCTTGACTGTCTCAGCGTCATTTGATCACCTACAGGGCATCAGCTGCTCACTCTTTACCACCTTGAATCCTAATCAAACCTCATCTGTAATATGTTGATCTGTAGTAAGGCAGTACTTCCTTTCTCTGATGGTTTCGATATAGTTGTAAAAGTTTGTTGTCATCTAGCACCTTCCTAACGCACTTACACGAAACATGTTACTGTCCTTTTAATATGTGTGGTTTTGAAAAAAGTGCTGTAAATCTAGACTCTCAAGATGAGTGCTCGAAACACTCAGTGTCATACCTGACCAGCATCGAAGACAAAGTCTTGAAAGTTTTCAAAATTACCTGAAATCAAGCTCAGTGTCTGTTCATGTAGCTTAGTCAGCGTTGTGCAGAACATGCCTCATCGAAACTGAGTAAGGCACTGGTGGGAACTAACGCATGCTCCATTGTGTCCCATCTAGATGATAGTCGTTGTCCAGTGAACTTGACCAACACAGTCAGTCAGTGTGACTGAAATTTGTGATGGTCATCGCACTCGCTCTTTGAGTATGGAAGATACTGAAATAGTAATATCCTAACCTGCAGGAACAAAAACGCGTGAGCACAGCTACTATCAAATCATCGGCCGATGAAGAACAAACTAACCAGTTTATACACAATTACACACATCACATTTCATATCCTTTCCTCGACAACTGCTTTTCTTCTCATTGTATCAAAACGCAGATGCATTTTATCTACTTTGCTCACTTCCTAGTAATACTCAATCCTATGAGCAAGTCATAATGACTATTTCACGCTAATTATGCTTATTTGTAAGGTTGTATTTCATCGGAAAAGATTCCCGGAGAGGTCTAATTAAAAAGAATATTGTCTGACCACAAATTTCCTTCCTGTGTGCCCATTCGATTTCTACTGCTTTCTAGAGGTACGTGTAATTCTTAGTTTGCAATAAGAAGAAGGTCTGGATAAACTAAGTAAAATCATTTTATTATTTAATTAGAAAATTATTAAATCAATTTATCAAATCAAAATAACTAGCTACTTGTTTAAGTTTCAATAAATAAAATTAAACAGCGCGGGCTACTCCATGCTTCATGATCCACGACGACCAAATAGAAATGGTAGGTGTGCATTATCTTTTGCTGCGATCTTAAGGAAAAGATGAAATACAAAGAAAACATGTTTTTCTGATATGAATTCACTAAAGTGAATGTAGTCAGTTAATCTGTCAGCGTTTGGTTTTGGATAAGCCTCTGAATGTCTGCAGAAATCTCTCGCATTTTCTGCTAAAAATACTTTTGTCTACTTTTAGGAAATAGGGGGTAGATCAGAGTCCAGTCGTAAGTTACCACTTGCACGTAAGCAAAGAGAGTTTACCAAATCAACTGAGGGTTATACTGTCAGTCTGTTCTTACCTGAATTCCAGTGAGGAAACCTTCAAAAACTGATTTCAGACCTAAATTACAAAAACAGTAGTATTGTTATTGCAATGAGGTTTGAAACTAGAGTATATCTGATAAAGTATCAAGATGGCAGAGTGAAATAGTGGTTATACAACTGGAAGCTGCATCTCTCATTATTTCTATTCGCATATGAAAATATGAATTGAAGAATTCCACACATTGAAGTTAACAGGAAGTTCACTATACTTACTGGTATTTTTTATAAAATTTGATTTCTCAGAATGTTTTTTAGATATCAGTTCAATAAAACGTTTAACTCCTAGAGACAGCGAGAGGGAGAAAGCCAAAACAGATTTACGTTAGGTGGAACAGAAATAATGAAGTAAAACTTTGTGATGAGGGAGTTTACAAGCGTTGAATAACAACAGACGAGTGTCAGCTTCGTTCCCTCTAATATACTTGACATTCTGCAGATATGTATGATTTCTGTCGAACATGCACGATGTAAAGTAGGTTGTACGAGCTTAATCGAGATTGATCGTCAGTGTGAATGTGTTGACTCATCTGTAGGCGAATACTAGAGACATCGTAATGATGTATTTCTGTCTTTTCTTATTGTTCTCTATAGCAATAGATACGTGCATATATTATATATGAAATGACTTATAACATTTCTATGGAGTATAATTGTTTTTATTTATCAGCCCGTGACAACGGAGACATTTCTGATTGTCAGCAACATACAGAAACCAAGAAAGAGTTCTTCACAAGCGAATTATTTTTTATAAATTTGAAAGAAATCAAGAGATTCCTGTGATAAGTGATGGCTTATTTTTCTCTTGTAGTTGAGGTCATCTCTGGACATTTCAACTGAGGAGTTCTGGATATCGTTTCAGACAACATATTCAGCATTTATAAACTTTGTAAACATCAACTTACTTTCATCTATAAGGAAATATTGAATCATGATTAAAGCAAGTCTGTTTTTATGAATGAGACTACTCAATGAATGTATGTGAGTAATATGAATATGAATAATGTCATTACACTGATATATACATGACAGAGAATGATATTTAGATACCTTGAATTTGAGTCCGAGTTAGATAGGCCTTGCAACCTTTATTTTTTGGACCGTACCTCCTATCTATTCATTGTACACGAGGAATAAAAATGTCAATATGTATATAGTTAGTGACGGAAATATATAAATATTTCTACAAAAATGCCCATTAATTTTATTATTATTTTGCAACATGAACTAACCTTTCACAATTTCTAAATTTTGTAGTCACCATGATGCAGAGAAATAAAAAAAAAACAGTATCAATTAAAATCTCATTATCTTCTGAATAAGGATATTTAAGTGTTTATGGGACTTATCACGTTGATGTGGTAGAATGGAGAAGTGTTTATCGAATGCATTGGTTGAATATGGAAGTTAGAACCAAAAGAAACCTGAATCTTATTGATCACTCGAATAATCACAGCAGCCGTCCAACTAACTAGATGATGACGAACTAAGAGTGAGATGCAGATGGTTAATTGTCACAGAAACTATTAGAGTATCATGGACTGATGTAATCATAAAACTGATGCGTGGAGGTAATAGAGACACTGGTATTCCCTAAGAGCCTAGTTACTCACCTATGACAGCAGCTAGTAACTGCACTACATATCGTGAATTGGCAGAAGTTGGCATTCACGAGCCATTAGATCAATTCCCAGGGGTAGAATGGTCTAAGAGCTCAGCTTGCAACTAGAAGGTTCTTGCCTCAAACCCCAATCGGTGTTTACTGATGAGGAGTCCCACGCTTTTTGATTAGTATTACTAGATTTTCAAATGGCTCTCTAACTGATATCAACTGGTGATCGAACATATAAATTATCTAAACAAACGGCAATAACGACAGTTATAATATCAAATAGCAAGTGTTATGTGGCAGGCATGCAGACAGATAGAAAATGTAGATTTTCCCATGGGGAAGTTTTATAATTACTTCTATACTCATAGATACGATCCTCAGTTTCATATATTTGTTCGTGAGTATTCTCTGCAAAGAGTTCTGAAGAAAATATAAAAATGAAGGGATGTACACTTCTCAAAACAATTCTATTATTCAGTGAAAAATACATAAGTCTTATACATGTTCTACAATTGATTTCACTGATATTCACTGAGAGATTTTGACATAGTGGTACGCATTGGAATTCCTACTTCTCTCGTGATTTAACATTCTTGGTAGTAATTGAACTTAATTATACATCATAATGAAATATTGAAAGACTGTTTATCCTCTTCATAATTAATTTATTAGCTTATATGAATGCAAGGCAGCAAATGGACGTGATTTTACATGATTGTAGGCGTCCAGAGAAAAGTCTCTAATCCAAATTTTGCACTTGTTGACACTCACAAGCCAGTATGGCGTATATAGAATCTTGAATGAAGTTATGTCCACCCTGAGGTTGGAAACCGGGTCATCCAGTTATCAATTGGCTACTCGGGCTCGTGATACACCTCCTGCTTGACTCTATTTGACACAAGGTAGTAACAACGAGTGCCAACAAGCACGGAAAACTCAACCACCTAATAAGTGCAATTCACAGAGCGCCATGATGCCAAGTCACTCAACATAGTGGTCACACTGGAAACTTAACTAACAAAATTCAGTCTCCATCAGATGAGCGACTAGATGCATGACGCCAGCAACTATGGTAAAGAATGTTCAAATGATTTTCAAATAAATAAGGGCAAAGAATCTGTGGAATCCACTAGCTAAACGGTAACCACACGCATATGAACTTAAAAAGGGAGTGTGACCACTGTCATTTGAAAAACTGGAGTTAAAATTTTCTCTGAAATATTGAGATAATCAATATGTGTAAAAGAAATCATACTGTATTTTGCTTTGAATCCTTTCATGCTTTTTATTAAACCTATTGGATTTCATATGCAAGAAATTCAGAATGTATATGTTAACTTGATTGGGATAATAAAAGACGCGGGAAAAATGAATAAACAGAGTCAAAAGAAACTGACATGATAATCTCGGAATAGGCGGTTGAAGAAACAAACAACCAACCCTAAAATGAATCCAATAATCGTCGATGTCGAAAGCAGTAATATGCTCTTTTATAATTCATACTGCATAACTTGAAGCCACATACGTACCGTTATTACCAGACTCATCTGAAAATGAACAGCGACTATCTGCACTCGATTAGATTCGCAATTGACTACTGGTTCTTACTCATGGTGCAAATATGTGATCACTGACCAAACCTATACAATTTTCATCTAGATTCATCGTCTCCGTATGCAAGCCAGAACAATAACAATGGCTCAGAATAGTCTATACAGCGATTCATTTACATTATGACATATTCTGATGAATTATTTTCCATGTCAGTAAACAAAAGTGTATTCAAATTTCACATACCTTTGTAAGTGTTCAGTAAGCTGTGGACAGAAGTGTAGTTTTCCTGGCATTTCATAACTGAAAAGATGATCAATTCTCCATAGAAAGTATGTCAGTTGACTTACATCTTCTGAAATTCCTCTCATCCTTTATTACCTGTTTTACCAATTTTACTGAAGAAGAGAAAAGTTTTTGTAAATCAGTTATACATATATAGCCACCTTGAAATTGAAAAAGTAAACCAAAGAGTTCCGTATATACGCATTCCACACCACTTTCATTTTCATCGAATAAACCATGAAACGACACGTCGACAAAATATTCGATGAATAAACTAGTTGAGTACATGTAGACAAGTGTCCTAATTGTGGTATAGTGGAAAGAACACAATAATCGAGATAAATTTCAGTGGCTCTCAAATTTCACCAACAAACTAGTTCATCTGTAATGTAGATTCGGTTGACATTGACTGGCAGTGGAAACCTGAATGTGCATTTCATTCTATTTAGGACTAGTCAGCAGGATATACACACATTTCCAGTGAATGATGGTGTTCTCACTGACAGTCGAAACCTGCATTGACCATCTCAAATGACAAAGTGTCTCGGTGGGAAAATCACCAGAAGACAAGTGGAGTTGCTTTAGACTTCGAATGAAATCCAGCCTGCTATGCAAATGAATAAAATGGGAGGGTAACTCTTACACTAGTAAATTCAACTGTTATCCTAGAACCTTGCAATGAATTCCTAACACTGTTGACAGCTTGGTTTTCATTTTGTCATTCAATCAAGAATTTAAAATTTCTAAGTGAATATAATTTTATTGGAAGAGGTGCATTAAAACGTGTTCATTTCACCTTGTTCATATATATCTGATTGATACTGACTGATGTTTTTTTTATTTATTTGCATTGCATCTATAAAATGATTTGAAGTGGAAAATGAATTTGAAAATATTGAAATTCCATATAAAATAAACAAGTTCATGTTGTAACTCAGTGTGCAGTTCAAGGATTTACTTCGTCCTTTGTTTACTTAGTAAAGAAGTCGATACTGGCTGAAACCCTTTTTTAGTGAGCATAAGTGATGATTATCTACCTGTCTGTTATTGGGTTTTTCTATCAAACAAGGTAGCGGTTAATAGAATTTATGAATTCAGGATAGGAAAAAGGATAACCTTGGACCTCGTAGCCTCATGAACAGCAGTCACATATTTGCTCTCAACACCACACTAACCACACTAACTAATTATTCAAATAAAGAATGGCTCTGAACAATCACTCAGTAAAGAATAAATAGCATCGATTTGAGTATGGAGTGATATACGTGGCTTCAGCAGTAGATATCCATTTCGCCAAGTGATCTGAAGTCCTCTCTAAGTGCCTTCATGATCCACTGTGTGCTCTAGTCCTCTCCATAAACAATCAATTAACCCCTCGTTTCCAATACAAGTTCCACTCGATGATCTGCAGGTTGCGTGGAATCACTCAATGGTCTTCCCATAGTACGTTCGATCCATCTCCATTTCCTTCAGTAATTCTTAAAATCCTTAACATGCATAAAGTGATCTTCAGTGATCTTACTGTATTGAACTACTTCTCTTGGGGTTTCAGTACATGCTTATGTCAAAGTGAACTCCATAGAATGTACTGTCTTTTACGTATTCAATCTATTGAGTATAGAGTAAAAATAATTCTGAAAAATGGACAAACAAATAAACAAACATTCAAATTACAGATAGAAGCGCTGATATAAAATGTAGTGAGACTTGCCGTCATAATTCTTGATAATATTTTCTACCTTCAATCTATCCTCCTTGAATGGTTCGTAATCTTCAAGTAAACAATAAAGTGAATTGAATCGAAGGAGATACACTCTCATTTTCGCCGTCGTGATATTGACAAATACATAAAAGGCCTAACTTTTCATCTCTGTGAGACGTGAATATGTAATTTAGAAGAAGATAAGAAGAAGAAGCGTACATACTACATATTCTGATGTATCGATCTCGGGTGTACATATTACTTTTCATGGATTGTAAAATTGATTGAACCAACATAAAGCATAACAACGCTAAATAAACTTCATTTGAAAAGTCTAGCTTGCCTCGGTACTGGTATCTGTATACAGACTTCATCATATGCCAAAATAATACCTCAAATCAACCCTCGTACTTATTTCATTTTATAAAATACTGCACATTTCAAGGTTGACATAGACAACATGCTGTGAAGATGGAGGCGACAGCCTGTGGGTTGGCGTCAGGTGAGTTAAGACAGATTTCACAGGATCGGCTTTTATGAGAGTGTTCCGGTGAGGCCTTATCTTCCGATCCGAACGCAATGAACTACTATGCAAAATAATCAACATCTTCTATTTCCCTCTGCGGTGAAGATACAGGACGATTGTCGGGAACCAGTACCCATTCAGCCTTCATATGATTAAGTTTATTCTCACTATGAAAATAATGGTGATAAGTGGAAAGTTTGATGAACGCAACGATCTAATTGCATTTCACATTCATAAATATTGCTAAAATCATAAAAAATGCAAAGACAAATGACTTACCTGAGACTTCACATGTACACAGAAAGAAAGCAATTACAATTAGGTTAGTAGGTGTGGATGCGAATGCCATGGTTATTCTGCATCTCTTCATAATCAGTGGTATTTACATTAAAATTAAACAAAGAGAAAAGCTATGCTGTATTCATGTGTTATTGATGGTTTAGGAAAGACTGAATAAATATCTGATGTTATTCGATTCATTCAACGACACCACCTACTTTGTATCAAATCTAACTCATCAACATCCGACAGACTGATAGTCATGAAGTGTAGTATTGTTTGTCTCTCTCGTTTGTGACATCACTCACAGAACGTTCGATCCATCTCCATCTCCTTCTGTAGTTCTAAAACTTCTTAACATGCAGAAAGTCTCCAGTGATCTTAATATGTTGAACTACTTCTCTCGGGGTTTCAGTACATGCTTGTGTCAAAGTGAACTCCATAGAATGTACTGTCTTTTACGTATTCAATCTATTGAGTATAGAGTAAAAATAATTCTGAAAAATGGACAAATAAACAAACAAATATTCAAATTACATGTAGAAGTTTCGATACAAAATGTCGTAAGACTCACATCCATCATCATTCAGCATTTTGTCCACCTCAGTTGTTTCATTTTTCCGGAGATTGATATCTTGAAGCAAACAACAAAGTAAATTTAATCGAAGTGGATACACTCTCATTTCCGCTGTTGTGATATTGACAAATACATAAACGGCCTAACGTTCCATCTCTGTGAGACGTAAATGTGTAATTTAGAAGAAGAGAAGAAGAAGCGTACATTGTAAATATTCTGATGAATGCATCTAAGATGTGCATTTTGCGTTTGAGGGATTGTGAAATTGCCTCAACCCTTTATAATTCTATCTTCAAATGTTTCAGTCAATTATCACAATGAAGATAATGGTAATAAATCGAAGGTTTGACAAATGCAGATGTCTAGTTATATTTCATCACGATATATATAATGGTGTAGGCAGACAATGGAGACAGAAATGACTTACTTGCTGATTCGCATGTACACAGAAAGAAAGCGGTTACAATTAGGCAAGTAGATTTGGATGCTGACGCCATGGTTATTCTGCATCTCTTCAGAAGCGGTTGTATTTATATTTAACTTAACAAGAGAGAAACTATGCTGTATTCATATGCTACTGGTAGATTAAGAGAGATGGAATAAATTTCTGATGTTATTGGATGTTTTCAATGATACCACCTACATCCTCTCACACCCCTGTCAACAAAATCTCACGGGCTGAGACTCACTCAGTACTGGAATTTATCACCGAGGTCACTGATAAACATTAACCCAAGCATATATGTGTTATCAATAGATAACAAATATTTCACTAATTACAATAAGGAATCCAATAGAGCGCAAAGATAAAAGCGATGGCTTCATTATTAATTAAAAGTCGTACTGTGCCTTATTCAATGTACCTATGTAATGAAAGAAATTATTTCATTTTCATTCACCTTTATAACATACGATATTAACAATAGAGAAAAATTCCACATCATCTCTAATCAGTTCTCTACATTGTCAATGAAAATATTATTGAGGTCACCCTGTCTAAAAAAATCACCATTCTTATACACAGAGAAATAAAATTATTTTAATTAAAATACAACATTCTTAGTTATCAGAATATAATCCTATTTCCGATGACTTCCAAATCGGCTGGTTTGTCTTGTTTCAATTCACCTGAAATCAGAATTTCCACAGTGAAAGCTCCATTGATGAATGCGGACCACACAGCAAGTCTTCAAGGTATCCAACTAGTGAATGATTGATACGTGAGCTGTAATGAAAAGCATCATTGTCTTGCATTACTGCACCATTTCGTAAGACACTTCTTCTTATTCTCACAGTTTGGACTCCAAAATCAGTGAGAACTGGATACCAGAAACCACTAATGTGGTGCGAAAATGGTTAGTGTGAATGATTATGCAATTAGAGTAATCGAAATCCAAGTGCACTTATCAAGGTAGTCAGAGATTGACATTCAGATGTATGAGAATGATATACCTGTCAGATTCTGGTTGTGTCGTTGATATACCTCACCAAACGAGCCTTATGTAGTGCGGTATGTCTAATGACACACTTATATGGTACACTGCCTGAATCACAACTACTGATAACAAGATCCAAATCAAAAAGTGTCGATTGTTTAAACATGTGCCGTAGTGAGCAACATATTAAAATAGAAAAAAATATTAGGATTACTTGGGGAGACGATTTCAGTATGCGTCTGGCTAGTTTTGCTTGAACAAAGAACTCTGGCAATGTGCGTGTTACAAGGACGCAAGAACAGCGCAAAATGACGTACGAGACTGGTCAGATGTGCACGCGTTGAGACGAACCTTGCAACACCTAAAATCTCCATAGGTGGGCTAGAAGTTTATTGAGTTCATATTAGGTCGATTCAGTCTGATCTGTTGGTTTTAGCCCTGGATTTACTTTGGTGCAGTGGAAGCTACGTTAGGTGATATTCTACGTTTAGAAGTTCCATGTTGCAGATGACTTAGGTGACGTGCTGACTCCAAACTATTACGACTATACAAATCTGTGGAGAAATGAAAATTTTCCTTCAGATAACACGCTTCACCATCTACTGTTTCCTAAGCAAAACAATTCTCTGAGAGGAATACACAAGGAGGAAATAGGTACAGATGAAATCACAGAGCTATACATACGCCTTCGTTAAGAAGCGATTGTATCCAATTCTCATGCTATGGGCTTGTCAGTAATTGAGTCCAGCTCATGGTTCGACATCCAGAAGTTTCCAAGTCCTGATGTTGTAGAGGAAAACGATTTCTTCTGAGTATATGCTTTTTAGGACAAACGACACTGACTGTAGTCTGACGTCCTGTTCGGTTAATGAATGATGATTTGAAAGGTTAGTCGTATGCAGCTTTCAGGGGATTACGCTAAGCACCACAACGCACAAAATTGTGTGTATGGTGTTGAAGTCTAGATTCCGGTCTCACTTTCCTTCTCTAGACACAATTTAGAGACGACTGAAGTTGATGCATAGAACGTATTCGACTCTAAGGGTGGCTGTGAACATCATACACTCTTGATTCATCACCTTCTCAAGGAGGCAGTTTGCAAGGTATAAGTAGTCTACATTGTAATTCTCACAACTAATTAACCACTATGATGTCATTTCACTCATCAACCGTTTTTTGTACCGAAGGAACGAACTCTGACAGCTTCCTGCAGATTCTACAAATCCAGAAATGTCAGTGGATCAGTTTTCACATAAAATATTCAGGCAATATTACGGAGCTGATAACCACGAAAAGCAGCAGGGACCACAAATCTTCCTCTAATGTGTGATTATTGGTGGTGACCATGAGGTTAGTTGAACCATCACCATAAGGTTTGACAGTTTCTTCCAATCCACAACCTTTTTTATTAGAAACAGTGAGTTATAGTCATTTAATATATATGATATTTGCCGATGAATCAGCGTGTGACTCGAGTGGTTTTGTGGTGAAACATTCGAGATAATGCCAGAGATTTTCGCAGTTCATCATTTCTGATAAAATTTCAGTGATAAATGGTTCCAGATTTCATTACCTTTTTATTGGTGAACTGCCAGGATAAGAAGCAAAGTCTTTATCTTCTTCGGGAGCTGCACCAACGTGCTGTGTACCTGTTGAATCAGTTTCCGTGGCAAGGTGAGATATATGCTGACATTCTGCACACAAATATGAGACATTTCGAAATGTATGAGGTGAGAAGGTTGTTAATACTTAGTAGTAAAAACTCATGCCTTTCTGGAGTTACTTGAAATAATCTATGAAGCAAACAACGAGACAAACCAGCCGATTTGGAAGTCACCGGAAATAGGATTATATTCTGATAACTAAGAATGTTGTATTTTAATTAAAATAATTTTATTTCTCTGTGTATAAGAATGGTGATTTTTTTAGACAGGGTGACCTCAATAATATTTTCATTGACAATGTAGAGAACTGATAAGAGATGATGTGGAATTTCTCTCTATTGTTAATATCGTATGTTATAAAGGTGAATGAAAATGAAATAATTTCTTTCACTACATAGTTGCTTAAAACGAATTGAGCCAGCTTAAATATGAACCTAGGACCCCATAATGCTTGATTTTAGATATTAACAGTCGGTGGCTCACAGTGTCAAAGGCTTTACTAAGATCTAAGTATACAGTAACTGTGATCATACTGGAATCTCTAAGTTGTGAGATGTGATCGAGAAAATGTAAGTGGCATGACGTGCAAGAACGTGACTTCATGAAACCATATTGATAAGGAGTGATAAGTCTCTCTTGAGAGAGGAAGTCAATAAAGAGCACTTTTCACGATCTTTTCCAGAACCCTTGAAATAACAGAAGTTAGGTTAATGGAGAGGAAAAAGCACATCCTATTCAAGGAGCGCGCGTGATTGGGTTCCAATTTTTTGCACTAAATTTGGTTTCGTTTCTGGCAGTAGTCGTTTTTCCCAGGTACTAATCCTTTTGATATTTTTCGTTACAGAGAGTATCAACAGCACTTTCCCTATAGTAACATATTTTGCATTTCGTCTAGAACTTCACGCTAGACCTGTTGGCTTTAATGTCGTCTCGTAGTTCACAACGATTGTGGAATTACGAACAGTATAGTATTTTTCTCTACTACAAAAAAGAAAAAAGAACAATAATAAAAAACTAAAAAGGATTTTGAGGAAACGTCTAAACAAATCGGATAAAAAACTTGTACTGTACAGTTAAATGGACCACTGCATATTTTTACGCATAAAGTTGTCACTTCTATGCTGTAAATATTAATTCTATCTATTTTCATAGATTTTATTATGTTCACGCGGTTTTATGCCCGGCTGAAACTTCTTTATTTTGTGAGGCGTACTTGTAACCATTTCTCATCACTTAAGTTATCCAACTCACGACACTGTCTTTTACTAATTATAAACACTTATCGCTATTGGCTACTTTCACACTGCTCTGTAACTTTTATAAATTTACGTAATGTTAACAATTTCCACAAACGGGTATAGTCTCGAAGTTCATACATTAAATGGACCTATGATTTCTGAAGCTTTTACATGGGAATTACCACTCGTACCGCTTGCAAACTCACCTATTATTATATTATTATTGTTCCCTTGTGTTCCTAGTGGAACATAGGGCTTCAACTGCACGTCTCCACTTGCTTCTGTCTTTTACTGTACTTTTCACTTGCATCCATGTTAGTCCATACTGTTTCAACTCTTCTTCGCACGATCTCCTCCATGTCACCCTTGCACTGACGTCCCACTCGCCGCTTCCCTTTCGGGTTCCACTCGAGCGTTGGCCTGACGCGCGATGTCACTCAACGGCCTCCTCAGCGAGTGTCCAATCCATCTCCACTTCCTCCTGCATATTTGTTGGGCGATTGGTTCCTGTTTCGTTTGTTCCCATAGCTTCTTGTTTGTGATTCTTTCCGGCCATTTAATCTTCAGTATGGAGCGGAGACAGTTGTTGATAAAGGTCTGCAACCTGTTGAAAATATTCTTGGTGACCCGCCAAGTTTCTGATCCGTGAAGCAAAATTGACTTCACGTTTGTATTGAAAATCCGAATTTTGTTGTTGATGGTGAGTGACGAATATTTCCAGATTGGTTTCAGGTTGATGAATGTGTTTCTCGCCTTCCCGATTCTCGATTTGACATCCTCGTCCGTTCCTCCTGTGGTTGAGACAATGCTCCCCAGATAAGTGAAAGAAGTAACCTCTTTCAAATCCCTCCCGTTGATGGTGATTGGCACTGGATGTTGCTGCTGCTGTTGTTGGTTGGTTATTTTCATAAGCTCCGTCTTGTCTATGTTCACCTGCAGTCCTGTCTTTGCTGCTTCTTCAAACAGTTTGTCGGTTTTCGCTTGTAAGTCTTCGATTTTGTGTGACATCAAACATAAATCATCCGCGAAATCCAGGTCTTCTAGGTTCTTCACGTCGGTTCAGGATATCCCTGTCTTCTCGTTTCCCACTGTCTGACGCATAATCCAATCCACCACAATTAGGAATATCATTGGTGATAGTAAGCACCCTTGTCTGACT